AAAAAAAAAAATCCCCTCGGAGCTCCCAGTTTGGATTTATCCACGTTTATTCGTGCCAGGAATGCCAAGGATCGGGGATTCCAGTGGGTTTTTCAGCCTCGAGCTTCCCAGTAGCACCAGTAAAACCCCCTCCAGTTCCAAAAATAGACATTAAAAAATCCCACTATTTGCTAAAAAAGCCTTCAAAAGCACCAATCTGGGGAGTTTGGGGTTAGAAAAAAGGGGAAAAGTCGGATGTGGTGAGTGGTGGGGCTTGGAGGGCCGGGAATAAACCAGGTGGTTCTTTCAGTACTAAAAAGAGGGAATATTTGTTAAAAAAAGCAATAGGAAAATGGGAAAACCATCCAAGAGTCCCCGAATTGTACCAAAAATAGACAAGTTTGGTCGTCTCGTTGGAAAAGTGCAGTTTGAGGCAAAAATCACGATGGGTTTGGAGCAGGGATTGGATGGATCCCCCTCATCCATGGAATGAGCTGTGCTGGTCCCTGCTGTGGATTTTGGGAGCAGGGATGGGGATGGATCCCCCACATCCATGGAATGAGTTGTGCCAGTGTCTGCTGTGGATTTGGGATGGGGATGGATCCCCCACATCCCTGGGATGAGTTGTGCCAGTGTCTGCTGTGGATTTGGGATGGGGATGGGTCCCCCTCATCCCTGGGATGAGTTGTGCCAGTGTCTGTGTGGATTTGGGATGGAGAAGGATCTCCCTCATCCACGGTCCCTGCAGGTGTCCCGGGACATCCCTAAATCCCAGGGGGGTGACGCTGGAGCTCCTGCTCCTTCAGCAGCGCGATCTGCCGGGAATGGGGAGAGGTTGGAGGGAGGGAGGAGGGCACAGTGTCCCCCCCGGGGGTTCCCCCTCACCTGCTCCTCCAGGCTGGGGCCGATCCGCAGCCGCTCCAGCTCCCGCTGCAGCTCCGGGGACGATCCCGCGCTGGGAGCAGAGCGGAGCTCCAGCACCGACACCTGCGCCTGGACAGCATCCCAAAAACTGGGCAGGGCGCCCCAAACACAGCCCAGCACCCCCCCAGAGCAGGCACAGCACCTTCCCAAAATGGGATGAGCCCAGGGAAGAGCCCACCCCCATCCCAGTACCAGCTCCAGCATCTCCCTTCCAACTGGGATGAGCCCCAGGAGAGCCCAGGGCCATCCTGAAACCAGCATGTCCCTTCAATCTGGGATGAACCCAGTGCCATCCCAGTACAAGGATCAGCATCTCCCAAAGATGGGATGAGCCCAAGGAAGAGCCCAGTGCCATCCCAGTACCAGCTCCAGTGTCTCACAGAGCTGGGAAATGCCCCACAAACACCCCCATCCCAGTACAAGCACCAGCATCCCACTGGGAAGGGATGAGCCCCGAAAGCTGCTCAGCAAATTCCCAACTGGTAGCAACCAGCATCTTCCTTCCAGCTGGGATGAACCCAGTGCCATCCCAGTACCAACCAGCACCTTCCTTCCAGCTGGGATGAACCCAGTGCCATCCCAGTACCAACCAGCACCTTCCTTCCAGCTGGGATGAACCCACCCCCATCCCAGTACAAGCACCAGCACCTCCCTTCAAGCTGGAATGAGCTCAGCTCCCTCCCAGTGCCAGCCCCAGCATCCTTGTGAGTTGGGAAGCACCCCAAAAACAAGACCAGTGCCACCCCAGTGCCACCCCAGCATCCTTCCCAAATTGGGATGAGCCCAGTGCCACCCCAGCATCCTTCCCAAATTGGGATGAGCTCCCTAATGAGCCGCCCAGCCCATCCTGCTCCAGTCCCTGGGATGGGGCTTTTCCAGGGCAGGGTGACCCACCCGCAGGTCCCGGATGCGCGTCCGAGCCTCGGCCAGTTCCCGCTGGGCTTTGCCCAGGGACCGATCCAGCCCCGCCGAGAGCCGCAGGGACTCATCCCGAGCCTCCGGCTGCTCCCGCGGCACCTGGGGACAAAACACACACGGACACGGGAGAAATAGGGATTGGAGCACGGACAGAACATTGACAACCATCCATAAACCCAGAAAAATTTACCATTAGCTATTGCTATCCAGGATATATTATGTATAACGTGTAAAAGGGATACAATCCCTGCAATATATTGTATAGCACAGAGTGTATATGGTATGGACTAGGATAAATAATTATATCATAATATGTATAAAATGTATATGCACAATATATAATGTATATGTAATGTATAATATATAATAATATGAATAAAATATATAATATATATTATAATAGGTAACATATAATAGTAAATGTAATTAATAATATATATAGCATATATATTACCTACATTATATGTACATAATACATATAATATGTATTATGTAGTATATATGTATATTCCATATTATGTAGTATAATATATATGTACTATTGTATAATATATGATATATTATATATATCATATAGAATTATATATTATAAAATAATGTAAAATATATTAAAATGCATATAAATCCAGAAAATACATATGTGCATAGATATTATATAGTGTATAGCATAAGCTATATATTTATTCATTAGATATTTATATACTTGTGTGTATTATACATAATATATACTATATGTGTCTATAGTATAAATATAAATATATATATAGACATAAATATACAAGTATATAAATATATAAGTAAATGTATTTATATCCTTATATTATATTATATTATATTATATTATATTATATTATATTATATTATATTATATTATATTATATTATATTATATTATATTTATTCTATTCTATTATATTTATTCTATTCTATTATATTATATTATATCATATTGTAATGTAGGAAGGGGTGCACGGGGGCAAGAGAGGGTTGGGAGTTGATGCCAGGGGGGTGCAGGGGGTGCTGAGAGGGTCCTGCCCGGGGTCAAAGGTCATGGAATTGGGGTCCCCCCTCACCCGCAGCCGGAGCTGTTCCTCCAGCCGGTCCTTGGAGCGCTGCAGCTCCTCCCGCTGCTCCCGCATTCCCTGCAGCTGCTCCCGCAGCATTCCCTTCTCCTGCCGCGCCTCCGCCAGCGCCCGCCGCGCCGCCTCCAGCCCGTCCTGCAGGGACCGCGGGGTGAGTCCCACCTCCAGACCCCGGAATGTCCATCCTACCTCCAGAACCCGGAACGTCCATCCCACCTCCAGCCCCCGGAACGTCCATCCTACCTCCAGAACCCGGAATGTCCATCCCACCTCCAGACCCCAGAACGTCCATCCCACCTCCAGAACCCGGAACGTCCATCCCACCTCCAGACCCCGGAACCTCCATCCCACCTCCAGCCCCTGGAACATCCACCCCACCTCCAGCCCCTCCTGGGACACCTGGGATGTCCATCCCACCTCCAGCCCCTGGAACATCCACCCCACCTCCAGCCCCTCCTGGGACACCTGGGATGTCCATCCCACCTCCAGCCCCTCCTGGGACACCAGGACACCCCCGAGATCTCCTGTGGGGACACCCCCACCCCCTGTCCCCCCCGGGGTGCCCATCCCACCTGGAGCACCCTCCGGTCCAGCTCTCCGGCGGTCAGGGCGCTCTGGAGCTGCTGGAGCCGCTCCTGGAGCAGGGAACCATCGGACACGGAGGGAGAGCTCGGAGAATCCCCCTTGGAATCGCTCTCCAGGGGGGCACTGAGCAGCTGGAATGTGCTGGAACGCTGCTCTCTCTGCGCCAGCTGCACCCCAAAACCACAGCAACGGGTTAGGTGGGAACTGGGGGGACTGGGAGGGGGCTCAGGGGGAACTGGGAAAGGGTTCAGGGGAACTGGGGGA